CTAATACTTGACACATGTTCATTGGCATAACCATATAGTTAACTCTTTTTGCTTTGTATTTTTGGAATCGTCGTTATACTTATGGACAAGTGTTAAGTGTTGAAAAGAGTGATGATTATATACCTTGAATTAAAGTGGTGAGCAAAAATACTCTCTAAAAAACAAGGGAATAATGGCCGGATGAAAGAAAAAAAATAGATGATAAAATGATAGACTAAAAAAGAGAAGTTCCCAAAATCTACCGGGAAGCTGATTTTTAAGAGTATATGATGCATCATTCCTAGGAAAGATCAAAAGGAACCTGCCGACTCTTATAGTACATTTCAAGATTTGATGATGCTATCTATTTGTATGTGAAAGTCCAGCATAAAATTTGCTATAAAATAAAATAAAAGACTTTGTTAGCCTCCCCTTCAAACTTAAGCTCATCTAGAATATATTAAAATCTCAATTGAATTTATGATGTAGAACAGATGGCAAAAGCACTTGAAGATAAGTCGGAGCGTCACACGTGCAAGGAGAAAATCAGGAAGTTGTAGTTTAGGCCCTGAACTCAGAATCGGGCTCATGACCCATCGTTTCAAAGAGAACGACATCACAAATAAAATTCATCGATTTTCCATCTTTTTCAGGAGTTTGACGTCACTTTATTAGTAGCCCAAAACAACATTTGAGTTTTGAGCTAATTTTTTGAATTTTCCTTTTTATTTCCTTTTTAGATTCCTAGGGTTTCTAGTAACTTGAGGTAGTATTTAAACAAACTTTGACTAAGTTGTTTAGGGTTGTTATTCTTATTATCTGTCAATAAACTTGAAATTTTCTCAATTTTGGTGGATTCCAAGCTTTTGCTCTCTTTGGCTAATCGTTTAATTGTCTTTCGTATTATCAAGATGCTTCAATATAACTTTAAAAAACCTCATTAACTTAACTTAAAAACAATTTTGATGAAAGAGATATACCTTGAAATAATCAAATCATAATTAACATAAAAATCTCAAAATAGTATTTTTCTTTCTAATACTATAAGAGGTGCTACATTTGATTTCCACCCTTAATTCCGTTTGACAAAAAAACCAGAAAATATAAATAATCAGTGTTAACATGGTAAACATACAGTCTTCAAGTTCATTTGTTATCTTTAGTTGTGAATCTATGAATTTTCTTCCGAAGGTTGCCCTGTAAAAGTTCTAAAAAAAATTTAGAGAAAAAACACCTGTAAAAAAAAACTAAAAAAAAAAAACCCACCCATAACAATGAAATAATACTATGAATGGAAGAACATTTTTTTATTAATTTAAAAGTCACTGATGGTATGCTTGTTTTATATTATAATAATATAGCAACATATATATATATATTATATAATATTTGCCTGTATATTTTAGTGTTTCCTTTTGACTGGGTGGTGCTGCTTAGGGGTGGGCACGTTTCGAGTTGGACCGGTTTTTGCCTCAAATTAAAACTGATATGGTATATTCATCCAATTTGGTTTGGTTCGGTTTTAATAAAAAAAATTTCAAAAACTATTTGATTTGGGTTGAACTAGTTCCGGTCATGTTCGATTTTGAGCCGGATTACAAAAATAGTTTTTTTAAATACAATTCTCAATTGAAATATTATTTTTACTTGAAAATTAACAAATTATTTAATTTCATATAAAAATAAATATTAAAGTTAGAAAAGAGAGATATTTTGAAATTGAACTTGGATAAATATTAGTTTTTTTTTTAAAAATATAGCATTAAATATAAATATATATTGAAGTTATATATATTTTAATTTGAATTGTTCAATCCGGTTTTTGAAAAAACTGGTCCAAACGATTTTTAACCAGTTTTTGACTTTTTGATCAACTCGGCTTTTTTTGAGTTTGATTCAGTACAGTTCGGCTCGAATTTCCAGTTTGCCAGTTTTAGTGCCCACCCCTAGCTGCTGGCCGTTGTGGCGTTAGAATGGAATGGAAGCGGGGGTGCCGCTTCTGTCTGTTTAAAAAGAATAAAAAATAGGAACCTGTTCAAAACGGTAAAGATTTGCTGCCTTGCTGGCCGTCATTCAGACTTTTCCACAAACAGGTGGTGGGCGTTCCTGCACCAAGTGATCAAGATGACTGACTTTTGAGGTATAGTGCCGAGGTGGCATTCGCTTCTCGAGGATTCAACACGTCAAACTTAGGACTTCACGCACTAATTTGGAGTGTTATCCAAAGGGATGAATTGACCCGCCGTTTTCCCTAACGTGGGTCTTCCTCTGACGATGGCTAATCAGCAAATAACAATAACAAAGTGTCATTTATTGCATGTGTCCATATACCAAGATTTTGTTTCATGCTAGCTGGTAGTAGTAACTTGAACGTAGCTTATCTGTCTTATGTGTGAAGATGGCTGTGGATTTAATTCGTCAGTCATTCATGCCGGCCACTGAAATGGACAATGATCAGTAATTTGCCGAAGGGAGGTTTCCTGGTCCAACTTGAAGATTTAAAGTTTCAGAAAGTTGAGGCTTCAAGTTCGGGATGACATATGTTTTTGGATGTACTCAGTTGGTATTCCTGATGACATATGTTTTGGGATGTACAAATTCGACTACGTAGTTATTTAATTGTTTTAAAGTTGAAATTAGTGGGTCAAGTTTTTCGATTTTTTATATCCAATTTGCACATTTCATAATTTCATGGTTTGAAATTAATTTGTTCAATTCAACCAAAAAAACATTAAAAAAATTAATTTTTTCAAAGGGCAAGAAAATGTTATTGCTCTCTATAATTCTTAATCTCTATGTTATAGCTCCCTAATACAAACTATATGTAAATGATTTACCTATACAATCTAGGTAAATTAGTATGAATGGAGTTAAATTGTCAAACCTATATAGATGCACTAAACTAATCTAAAAAAATCACTTTAGTTTTTATTACTAATGGTCTATGAACTTTTCACAAGTCCTCATTTGAGTACTCAAACTTTCAAATCAATCAGTGTGATCTTTAATCTGTTGGTCCACACATCAGTTTGGTATCTCTAATCTCATTCCATTAAAGTCTCTGATAAAATTTATCATCTGACCAACTTTGAAGGGGTATTATATAAAATACAACCTATCTACTGATGAAACAAAGTAAATCTCACGTATTTTGCTCAACAAGGCTATATGCTCTCCTTGATGAATCCCAAAGTGAAACCCCAATTGTAGAGAATATGGTCTCGTGAAGCAAAAATGTGAGTTTGAGGGCTCAAATGACCTATACGTAAATGTGGATTATGTCAGTTGCCTAAGACAGTGTGGGCTCCCCATTGCACCCAAGTTTGATCCTCATCCCCGTACATTAAATTAGTTTAGAATATCGTTTTGTGAAAAAAGAGGCTAAAATGATCTATAATTAGATGACAATATCCCTTTAGTGGGTCACCCAATGACATGTGACCAATTTTATCGAAAGTTTTGTCAAAATGAGACAACATAGACCAAATTGATGTGTAAGCCAAAATATAAAGGACCACATTGATTGATTTGGGAGTTTGATGACTAAAATGAGGATTTTTAAAAATTTTAGGATCACTTGTGATTAAAAATAAAAATAAAAAAAGACCGAAAAATATATGTCAATGTTGATATGGTAAATGTTGAAAATTGATATTTGCTTACTGTTAAGTTGTCCTCCCTCCTCAAATAGAATGCCCATTAAATTAGGAGTTAAATAAGGGCTAAAACTAAAGAAGGTTAAAAGGGAAAATGCACGACGAGGTCTTAAAGCCTCTACAAACAGGCTCCCTAAACTACAACTCCAGAGATGCTTCCACTTTACATCCTAAAATATAAAGATTAGAAGCTCTTAGTGTCTCCATATAATTAATACTGCTTTATTTTAATAATTAATACATTTATTTAATATTGACTATTATTTGTTAGAATAATACTAGTCTTACCACATTTTTTATACCACATGATGTGGCGGCTGATGTGTACATACTGCATCATGTAAAATACTAGTTTATGTTTTTCTAATTTTATTTATTAAAATACACTTCATTCATTTACTTGATATGACATATGATATGGACATGCCACATCATGTGGTATATAAATGTGGGATAATAATGTGGTAAGTGTAGCATTACTCTATTTGTTATTATATCATTCTATGTAGACAGGGAGCAATTACGGTCAATTAAAAAAGAAACATCCTCCTCAGTCGTAACACAATATTGATTGGTTGCAAAGGGCTTGTAGCTCAAGTGGTTAAGAGCACACACCTACATCCGAGGTTTTTTGTCTGAATCTCCCCTAGGCCTATGTCAATATTGATCGCTTGTATTTATATAAAATAAAATAAAAATTAAAGCTTTTATGACTCCCTATATTAGAGAGTATAGTTATAATTAAAATTTTGGATGAGGAAATTTAAAAGTACTAAGAAATTCATAAATAATGAAAATTAATGTTCTAGAATTTGTAAAATTTCTTGTTTAGCTAATCTAAAACTATAATGGATTTAAACAGACAATTTAACGTTTGTAGTTGTTATATTGGTGGTGGGTTTCTAGCGGTAAGGTGGATTTGGGTCTAGACTTTTTTTAATTCTTTTTTTGTCAAAAGATAAGAATTTTTAACCAATAGCATTAACATGTGCAGTAAGAATATTGAAAAGCCAACCCGGTGCAACTGTCCCAGAAGAACCTGAATCACCATTTTTTTTATTTGGGAAAAAAAGGGGCTGCAAAAAGGCTGCCGCAGGCACCCTTGAATGACCATTTTTTTAGTTGAAAGGGTCTAAATCTGAATCACCATTTTTTTATTTGGGAATTCCGGTGCAGCGTGTATATATATATATTGCTGTACATTGTTAAACAAAGCACTAATTAGCTCCTCTTACAAACTGCCTTATATTCTTCCTCTTCTGCTTGTATTTTCTAATCAGCGAAAGGCTTCTACTTTCTTATACTAGAGGCTCTACTTGTTAATCACGTACGTTGTTTGATCCAAAACCAAAAAAAGAAAAGAAAATGATGGCCACAACAAGAGCAAATGAGAGGCAGGGAAGTGTTTCCCAACTCGGTATCCCAACCATTGACCTTAAAGGCATCCATAGCAACTCAGTTTTTCGAACTGAAATCGTCGAGCAAATTCGAGATGCATGTGAGAAATGGGGTTTCTTTCAAGTTCAAAACGGAATTCCTGTTGAAATTTTGGATGGGATGCTGCATGGAATACGTGAGTTCCATGAGCAGGATAGTGATCTTAAGAAACAGTTGTGTTCAAAGGATGCTGGGAACAAGGAGCAGTATATGTCCAATAATCGCTTTTTCAAATCTTCACAAGGAAACTCGAGGGATACATTTGTCTGCTATATGGCTCCTGATCCAACCAAACCAGCAGACGAATTACCCTCAGTGTGCAGGTATGCATGGCACTACATATTAATTAAATTTTTATGTATGTAACATTTTATACACTCTAGTCTAACCACCATGCATTTAGCGTTGGACAAATTTTCTTTGTGATGGTAACAGGATGCTACTATGTAATATACCATGAATGAACGAGGAGTTTATACTCAATAAAATATTACCAAAAAGGCGGGTTTTACACTCGTACATCAAAAAATTTACGTTTACTCAATCATTATATGCAAGATAATACATTTCATGAGAAAAATAATTTCCTTATAATACATAAACTAAAATTTGTACATGACTTCCCTGCATGGTTAGTTTATAATTTACACCTTTCAGTCTTTTACCATTATTTTCATCATTCAGTAAATGAAATTCATGAGTGAACTTGATGACTTCGAGTTGCAGAGATATAGTGAATGAGTACTCAAAGTTAGTGAAGGATTTGGGATTTACTTTGTTTGAGTTGCTTTCTGAGGCTCTTGGGCTCAATCCAAACCAACTTAAAGACGCGTACATGGACTGTGCTGAGGGGCTTTCTATTATGGGTCACTATTATCCATCATGTCCTGAAACAAAATTGACTATGGGCACCAACAAGCACACTGATGGAAGCTTCATCACCGTACTCTTACAAGATCAAGTGGGTGGCCTCCAAGTTTTATATGAGAATCAATGGCTTGATGTTCCTCCCACGCATGGAGCTCTTGTTGTCAACGTTGGAGATCTTCTGCAGGCAAGTTCATTATTACAATTATATATATAACCAACTTTTCATTGTACTAAATCTATCAATACCAAATAATAACAAAGATTTATGTATAAATTAACTTTCAATAAACTTATAACTTTGCGTCGTTTTTGTGCAGCTCATCTCAAATGACAAGTTTGTTAGTGTTAACCACAGAGTTCTAGCGCAGAGTGTGGGCCCAAGAGTTTCTGTGCCAACCTTCTTTAGGCCACATGCAGAAAATCCAAAAGTTTATGGACCAATCAAGGAGTTGTTGTCAGAAGAAAATCCTCAAATCTATCGAGAAACTAGTGTTAAAGATTATCTGAAGTACTACCTCTCAGAACTCGTAAAAGGGAACTCGGCATTAGAACATTTCAAGCTATGAAGGGATGAAAGGGTTATGCAGGATGTGGGGCCCATTTGTTTGGACCTCTTATCTGTGTTTTAGTTTTGTTGTTGGTTGGTGGTCACTCTGTATGTTGAGTCAATAATCCTCTCTGAGGGTCTAAAATTGTCTGTCAATAATCCTTTGTTATTAGCGAATGGTCTTCTAATAAAAGTACTTCTTGAAGAAAAAAAATACAGTCGTCAGTCGTGATGTTGATGCCATAGCACAACTATCTAGTAATTTGTGATTTGGTTGATAGGGAAAGTTCATAAAAATTGCTTATAAAAAAAAAGTCCATTTGGTGATGATTGTATATTGACTCTTAGAATAGCATACCCAAAACAAAACAAAAAAATCATTTTATTGAAATACAATTAATGTATATGTTTTTTACGCTGACTTAGGTCCCGTTTGCGATTGTTTTTTTTTTTCACCGGACATTGACTTCACTTTATACTGGTTCAGTAATGTCGCACTCAAAACCTTGGAACTTCAGTCGCTGTCATTTTGTCATGCCAAGGTTCATTAAGATATTTGAAAAGCGACCAAGGATTTTATTTTATTTTTCGGTCAAAGGAAATGAAAATTTTCATAACCAAATTAAAGAGCATACGACTAATCATGGGAGCCCAATTACAAATTCAGCATAAAATCCAGGGTTCAACTAAAACAAAATAAAGCCCAAACAAAACATACAGCATACGATTATTGTTTTAACAGTAACATCTTGGATTTTACAACAATTACTGTAGAGCTTTCTCTATAATCTGGTTGATCCTCACGTTGACTTCAAATTTTTTTATAGAGAAAATGGAGGCCACAGTAAGCGCAGATGATGAACTTACAACTGGGCTACTTACAGTGACCGCGCAAGTGAGTTAAAAGCATTCGAGGATACAAAAGCTGGTGGTGTCATGGGACTGCTCGATACAAAATCCCACGTATTTTCTGTTGGAAAAAATGGGTATAATTGCTATATTTTACACAGAAATTCAGAAATAATCATTCAATTCATGCTTAAAAAATTAATGCATGCTTACAAACATACACAATAAAAAATCACATAATACGGATTAAAAGAACCTGAATAATTGAGTCGAGGCAAATGTTGGACACTTTGACCTTAAGATGAATTACGCCCCACACTGGTACTTATGGTTCAGTAGCGTTCGCCTCCCAGGATACAACGACTCCCCTCCTTATGAAAGAAACACTGCAATTCACAAGGAACTTTGAATCAAATTATGCAGGAACTGTTGGAAATCACAGTCATCACAGTCAACGCCAATCAAAGCTTGATTTGTGGATCGAATCTCAGTGAATAAATCAAATTGTAATTGCTGTAATTAGGTCCTAAAGTTTAGATGTTTGTATGTCAGTTTACCTCTTTTAGACTAGACATACTCCTTTATAACCATGTATATGAGTTGTACAAATACACAAGAAAATATAGAGAAACATTTCTCATTCTTTTCTCCAGTTTCAATTTCTTTATGTATCAGAGCACCATCCTGGTGCCTGATATTGCTCACTTTGCTTCCGCCAATATCATTGACCATCATGACTGAAACTTTATCAGAGAAGAAGTTGACAGAGGTTATGGGTTTCAACGATCCTTATTATATTCACCCTTCAGATCACACTAGGCACGCTATTGTCACTCGACCCTCGGAGGGTGACAACTATGCGACGTGGAGTCGTGCCATGATGATGTCTCTGGAAGCTAAGAATAAGCTTGGCTTTGTCGACAGCACAATCAAAGCACCTTCGGCGAAGGATCACAAATATGGAGCTTGGAGAAGATGCAATCAGATCGTGAAGTCGTGGATCCTCAATTCAATCAGTCCAACCTTGACCAATACCGTGATCTTCTCCAACACAGCCGTTGAAGTCTGGGCATAATGGTTCTCACAAGGGAATTTTTCATGTATTTTTGAACTCAAACGAGGGATCGTCGAGCATCGTCAACAACAACAGTCCGTAGTCGTCTACTATGCAACGCTCAAATCCTTTTGGGACGAACTGGGATCGTACAACGATCCACCTTAATGTAACTGCGCAGGTTTGAAGCAGATTGCTGAAAGGAAAGAGCAAGAGTAGATCCTCCAATTCCTCATGGGGTTAAATGACACATATTCTGCCATTCGTGGACAAATCCTTTTGATGCAGCCACTTCCCAATATTAGAAAAATCTACTCACTCTTACTCCAAGAAGAAAAACAGCGGTAGCTTGCTGATGCTCGTGACAGCTCTATTCATGCCATGAATGTGAAGAAAAGCACAAAGAACACAGAGAATAGGCAGCCTGCAAAATCACAAGACAACAAAGGGAAATCCTTGTATTGCACACACTGTGAGGGTGATACACACACAGTTGATCGCTGCTACTACATCATCGGCTTTCCACCAGGGCACAAGTTCCATGGCAAATCAGTTAAGCCACCAAACAGGAACAAGCGCTTCACAGCCAATAATGCTCACGGCACGACCAAACCCACCACTATAGAGAATACGCATAAGAACTTTCCTCAATTCACAGAGGAGGAGTACAATCAGACAAGGGCCTTACTCGGTAAAACCCAGTTTTGTGGAAATGTGACAGGTAAACCCAATCCCAAATGTTATACAGCGTGGATTATTGATAGTGGTGCAAGTGATCATATATCCTCCTCCTCTCCTCTTTTGCATCAAACACCTTACCATGACACTGTTGGTTTACCTAATGGCTCACACATAGATATCTAATCTGTTGGTTCAGTTCAAGTTAATCCAAATTTATTCATAAAAAATGTCCTTCATGTACCTTTCTTTCGGGTCAATTTACTCTCAATCAGCAAAATTACTCGTGATTTGAGTTGTATCGTCATTTTTCATCCTAACTTTTGTATCTTACAGGACCTGAAAACAATGAAGGTGATTGGCCTGGGGAAGGAGCATAATGGTCTCTACTACTTGTCTAAACACACAGCCATTAAGCCACCACCAAAAATTCGAGCCAACACCACCTCTGCCATTCCAAATTTATGGCACTACCGCCTAGGACATCCTTCTACTACACCATTACAATTTTTATCCAAGACAGTTCCTAATATTTCTTTTCATCATAATAAGCATTGTGAAATTTGCCCTATGGCAAAACAAACTAGATTGCCTTTCAATCTAAGTTCAATTTCATCACGTGTGCCTTTTGATCTCATACATTGTGACATTTGGGGTCCCCATCGCACTCATTCACATTCCCGGTGCTCGTTATTTTTTAACTATTGTAGATGATTTCTCATGCCACACTTGGATACATCTTATGACGTTTAAATCAGAAACACAAGGACTACTAAAATCCTTCATCGCCTTTGTCAAAACACAATTCCAATGTAGTGTTCAACAAGTTAGGGCAGACAATGGAAGTGAGTTCATTTCAATGCGACCTCTTTTTAACAACTTGGGAATTCTTTTTCAACATTCTTGCCCAACAACACCACAACAAAAAGGAGTCGTAGAGCGCAAACATCGTCATCTCTTAAATGTTGCTCGTGCTCTACGATTCCAAGCTCACCTACCACCAGTGGCGGATCCAGGATTCTGTGGCCAAGGGGGCTTAGTGTAAAAGTTCCGAAATTTTTTTACAAAGAAAATAATGCTAAAAAAGCCTATTAATCCGTCATTCGAAATTTTTCATCTACCTCAGTAGCTATACTATATTCCAACCAATCATACTCATCAAACCATTGAGCAATGAAACGTCTATTAAATCCTGATTGATTAGTTTGTGGGAATTTATAACTTCTAGGTTGACAAGGTTCCTTTTGTAGATATGCTCTTCGGATCTCATCCCGAATATTAGGACTATAATCCGTCATTCGAGGTCTTAGTCCAGGATTTGCCTAAAGATTAGCTAATATCTCATCTACTTCAATTGGTCTTGTTGCATTTGAACTATCCGGATTAGACGGAGAAGGACTATCCGTAGATAATTTTCTTTTATAGAATCATTCCATAATTCTACAAATCAATTAATTGAATCAATCATTAATTTTTATCCAAATTATCATATGAATATGAAAATGTCAATAACCTACTCTCAATATTCACCCATATCAATCAATATTCAATATACCAAATTATCATATCAAATATCATTCAATATTTAATATACTCAATCAACAATCAAGCATAAACGCAATCAATCTAAATTATCCATCAATATGATTCATATCCATAGATTTCATTACATAAAAAAAAAATATCAATATCAACAATATATTATCACTATAAATTTATTAATTTAAATTTTGACCTGCTTACTTGTACTTGAAAAAAAAGGGCGGCACAAGATGGTGGTGGTGATCGCCAATGGGCCACCGGCGAAGAGTTGATGGAGGTTGTCGGAGGTTAGGAGGTTGGGAGAGGTTAGGATTTGAGAGGGAAGCATTGGGGGACCCAAAAATTTTTTAGCGGAGGTGCAATATTGACTAAGTATGAAAAATGGTTTTTCGGAATAATCATTTTCTCAAGATAATTTTTGGCGGCTTTTATTCCTTACACATCAAATAAGAAAACTTGATTTTATGGGATTTTATTATGAAGTATATATTGACTTAATGAGCCATCATTTTTAGCATAAATCGTATTTTACACTAAAACCGAATTTTCATATTTTGATTTGGTGAGAATTTGATTTTCTAGTATTTTTATTTGAAACCAAATGGGGGGTACTTCCTTATTTACATTGTAAACTTAAGTAAATGGAGTAATATAAAAATAAATAAAAGCAAAAGGACAAAGACATTTACTTAAATGTTGAAGATGGAAATAAGGTCATCTGTACAACAATCCTGTGTTTTTTTGTTCTGTTTTTTTTTTTTTTTTTTTTTATTTACCTGGCCCAAAACGACGTCGTTTTGAGGCTAGGTCATTTAAAAAAAATTGACTGAGCCTTGGACCAAACGACGTCGTTTGGCAAGGCTGTTTTAAAAAAAAACACACGCAGCGCGCGCGCAAGGCGCAGTGCAGCTGCGCAGCAAGCTTCTCCTCCTCCTGGGACTTTCGTCGAGCAGTTGGCGTGCATCCAAGGGGGCTTCCAGCAGCTATCCAAGGGGGCTTCAATGGAGTCCCTTGCCAACTTTCCAGCATTCCAAGGGGTCGTCCGACCCCTCTTGTCCCAACGTGGATCCGCCACTGCCTACCACTTACATTTTGGGGGGAAAGCATTCTTACTGCTGCCTACATCATAAATAGACTACCCACACCCGTTCTCTCCAAAAGCACACCATATGAAAAGCTCCACAACACCATACCTCACTACAATCATATGAGAGTATTTGGTTGTTTATGTTATGCCACCAGCACTAAACCCTCACACAAGTTTGATTCCAGGGCACGCAGATGTATTTTTGTGGGTTACCCTCTTGGCCAAAAGGCGTATCGCCTATATGATCTCTTTACCAAAACTTTCTTTTCCAGCCGAGATGTCACATTCCATGAAACAATATTCCCATTTACTACTCAACCCCAAGACACACAAACTGACTACCCAGACCCCTCAGTCCTACCTTTGCCTTTACCAGATGTCACATATCAACCCACACTCACCAATCCTTCAAACATGTTGCATGCACCAACTGACCCAACACCAATACCTCAATCACCAAATATTACAACATTATCCCACACTCAGCCCAACCAATTCCTTGACAACCTCCAGCCCAACCTTACTATTACATCTTCACCAAATAACACCATGCCGTCACCACCCTTCATGCAACTACCACCTCTTGAACCCATACACCCTACAATCGACACACTCATGCCATCCCCAGTAACCACTCCACCTGTAGTTCCTCGGCGTAGTCAACATGAACGCCACCCACCACCACACCTCCAAGATTACCACTACTCCAATGCCATCATGCTTCCCCCCGGGCTGTCATCTTCTCGTCGAGGTACTCATCACCCTTTATCTAATTTTGTCTCTTATGATCATTTATCTCCATCTCACCGTTGCTTTATCACTAGTCTCTTTGCCCATAGCGAGCCAAAATCCTTTGCACAAGCTTATTTAGATCCAAGATGGAAGGAGGCTATGCATGCTAAATTGACAGCTCTTGAACAAAACAAAACATGGACTTTATGCCCCTTACCACAGGGAAAACGAGCCATTGGGAGCAAATGGGTCTATAAGATTAAATATCGCTCTTATGACACGATCGAAAGATACAAAGCCCGCCTTGTCGCCAAGGGTTACACACAAATGGAAGGTTTTAACTATACCGAAACCTTTTCACCCGTAGACAAATTAGTCACCCTCAAATGATTACTTGCTGTTGCTACTGTCCGACATTGGTCCTTGCATCAGCTTGATGTCCAAAACGCCTTCCTCCACGGCGATTTGGATGAAGAGGTTTATATGTTGCCTCATCTAGGCCTTCGTCGACAGGGGGCAAATATGGTGTGTCGACTTCAGAAGTCACTGTACGGTTTAAAGCAAGCATCACGCAATTGGTTCTCAAAGTTCTCAACAGCCATCAAACGAGCCGGATTTCAACAATCTAAGGCAAACTATTCCTTATTTATTAAGGTAAGATGTGCTTCTTTTACAGCAGTGTTACTTTATGTAGATGATATGATCATAACAGGAAATGACAACATCGCAATTGAAGAGCTTAAGGGATTTTCACACAACAATTTTCGAATCAAGGACTTAGGCCATCTCAAGTACTTCCTTGGAGTTGAGGTTGCCTACTCAAAGCAAGTTATTGCTATTTCCCAGCGTAAATACACTCTGGATATACTTAAGGATTCAAGTATGATTGGAGCAAAACCAACTAAATTCCCAATCAAACAAAATCAAAGGCTCACACCTTTAGATGGTGAACTACTCAAAGATCCATCACAATATGCCTTGTCAGTCAGCTCATATACCTCACCATCACAAAGCCAGGCATCACCTTTTCGGTCCATGTTCTCGGCTAATTTATGCAACAACCAAGGAAACCCCAACTTGAGGCATCGTACCGTGTCCTACGTTACTTGAAGAAAGCACCATGCCAAGGTGTCTTATTCCCATCGCATGGTAAGCTGCAATTGAAAGGATACTGTGACACTGACTGGGCAAGTTGCCCAACAACCAGACGATCTGTTACTGGATTTTGCATCTTCCTTGGAGGAGCACCCATATCTTGGAAAAGCAAGAAACAATCAATCTTGTCACGCTCCTCAGCAGAATCAGAATATAGATCCATGGCATCTCTTACCTGTGAATTAGTGTGGCTCAAATACCTTTTGCAAGACTTGCAGGTAACACACTTGCAACCAGCCCTCTTATATTGCAACAACCAGGCTGCTCTACACATTGAGGCCAACCCCGTGTTCCATGAAGGCACGAAACACATTGAAATTGACTGCCACACTGTGCGTGAGAGAATACAATCAGGTTTAATCAAGACAACTCATGTTTCTTCATCTCAACGGATAGCCGATATATTCACTAAGCATGGCAGCGCATTATTTCATGCTCTCCTTCACAAGCTAGGAACTTTGGACATCCACGTTCCAGCTTGAGGGGGCGTGTTGGAAATCACAGTCATCACAGTCAACGCCAATCAAAGCTTGATTTGTGGATCGAATCTCAATGAATAAATCAAATTGTAATTGCTGTAATTAGGTCCTAAAGTTTAGATGTTTGTTTGTCAGTTTACCTCTTTTAGACTAGACGTACTCTATAACCATGTATATGAGTTGTATAGATACACAAGAAAATATAGAGAAACCTTTCTTATTCTTTTCTCTAGTATCAGTTTCTTTAGGAACCTCTCTTTATGAAAACTCTAATGCTCTCTATATATGAAAGTTTGTATGTAGAGAATTAAATTGAATGAATAAAACTACAAGAGGATTGCTTTATTTATAGATGATGAAATACCATTTCCAAAAAGGTATCCCAATATGAAAAGGCAAACAATGCATCCCTTGGTCTGAAGAGTTGTCACCCCAAACATTGCATCCCTTGGTTTGAAGAGTTGTCACCCCAAATGTGAAGATGTCTTTAACCCAAGGGTCATGTCTTTAACCCAATGGATTTGATTAATTTCCATTCAAATAAGAAATTTAATATTAGTTAATATTAAATTTCCAACATTTTCTACTCTGCATCACAACATGAGACGGAGGCAAGTTATCATGCCCAGTTCAGTATCCCAATTATTTATCTCAAAGGCATTTCCCAAAATGATGCAGTTTACGTGCTGGCTGAAGTCATTGGGAGAGTTGGAGATGCAAGTGAGAAATGGGGTTTCTTTCAGATTGTAAATCATGGGATTTCTCTTGATGTTTTGGATAAGATGATCCATGGGATACGTGAGTTTCATGAGCAGGAAACTGAGCTTAAGAAAGGATTTTATTCAAGGGAGTTTGGGAAAGAAAGTGTTTTATATGTCCAATAATGATTTGTACCAATCTTCAGAAATTAACTGGAAGGATACACTTGCCTGTTATGTGGATCCTGATCCCCACAAACCAGAAGAATTGCCCTTAGTTTGCAGGTAATTAAGCAAGACAATAATCCTTTACTTTTGTATGATAAATTCATTTATCACTATGTAGAGTAGCGCTAAATATTTATATTGTCATACTGTGAAATACATTCGTACAAGAATTATCAATAGTACAATTGTGAAAACAAAACAAAAAAACATTTCTTAGAAACTACCCGGTGATAAAAATCAATGTTTTAAAAACCGCTCCTCGAAAGCGTCTTGAGGCCAGCTTTAGAGCAAGGTGATGGTATTTTGCTTCAAGAATGAGAGGCCTTCTTCTCATCATCTCATCCAAGAGCTGTGATTAAGGCAGCCAACAAAGAGATGAGGATTGAGGAAGAAGAAAAGATGGGTGAGCGAGGGGGCTTGGAATGAGAGGCTGCTCCTGTTAGGCCAAGGGTTTGAGAAGAAAAATTGTATTTACATGTCTTTTGAAAATGAAGGAGAGCTGGGCTTTCAATTGGGCTTGGGCTTGGGCTTAGAACACTGATACAACCAAATATCACTAAAGGGAACACTGAGTTTTTTCTTCACTTCAATTTATTTTAATTTTTTTAAAAAAAAAGATAAATAACTAAAGCAACCACTAAGAGTACCTCCACCTCAAAGGGCAAGGGCAAGGCAAAGGCAAGGCAAGGTTTGTCCTTATTTACGTGAATAGTGGCAGCCCTTGCCTTTTTTGTTTTCACCCCAAAGGGCAAGGGAAAGGACAATTACTATTCACTTTAATTTATTATCTATTTTTTATACTTAAAGCATTAATTTTGATAAGCTTTTCGGATAAGATTTTCGGTTGCCACTTGTCACTATTTATTATAAAATTCTCACCTAAAATTTCAGATAATATTTTTGGATAAAATTTTCGGATAAGATTTTCGGTTGCTACATGTCCATATTTTGTTATAACATTCAGATCTCAAATTTCAGATAAGATTTTCATATAAGATTCTAGGTTGCCACGTGTCGATATTTATTATAAAATTCTAATATCATATTTCAGATAATATTTTCACCCTCTAAAATTGCACCACATGTCATCTCTATTTTCTAAATCCCTCTATAAAACTACACTCTCAACTTAGACTTCTCACACCATATCTTCTCTATCATTTCATTTCTCAAATTTTACAAAACACATTCTACTCTCAATATCTAACCTGAGAAGGGTGTTAGAGAGGCAACAACGAGAAGATGAAGAAATCAGGCGCAAACATGCTGAAAAAGATCGTGAGTTGGATGAAGAGGAGGAAGAAGTTGTTTTAGCGGTGTGTACGCTCCATCAATCAAGGCAACACCACGGTCGTTATGCCTCGAACGTGGACACACATATGTACTCTCAGGGTAGGAATCTCTTGGAAGATTACTTTATCCTAAATTCGTTATATCATGATTCTTATTTTCGAGAGAGATATAGAATGCAGTCTTATTTGTTCCAAAAAATCATGCATGATGTTTGCAATTACGACACATACTTCGTTCAGAAGTACGATGTTGTTGGGATTTTCGGTCTTCTTTCAGAGCAAAAACTTACAGCTGCTTTGTGGATGCTTGCGTATGGGGCATCTGTAAATAAGTGGATGAGATTGCTAGGATGGGGAAATCAACTATCCTAGAGTGCTTGGTCAGATTCTGTGATGCAATAGAAAATCTCTACACGAGGGAGTACCTCCGCAAACCTACACCTAGGAACCTCCGAAGGCTTCTATGAAAAGGCGGGGCTCAAGGTTTCCCAGGCATGATTGGAAGCATCGACTGCATGCAATGGCAGTGGAAGAATTTCCCAACTGCTTGGCAAGGAGATTATGGGAATAGGAAGGACAAAAAAAGTATAATTCTGGAGGCCGTTGCATCATTCGACACTTGGGTTTGGCATGCCTTTTTGGGACATGCCGGATCTCAAAACGACCTCAATGTTCTTGGTCAATCCTCGGTATTCAACGATGTCTTGAGAGGTTATTTCCCCCAGACACAGGTTTATTGGGAGCTAAACCTGAGCCTTTTCCCATGGAAGATATCTAAAGCCCGACAATATTGATGGCAATCTACTCAATAATCCAGCCTCATATCGTCGCTTGATTGGAAGACTTATTTATCTAACTGTTACAAGACCAGATATTCTTTTTGCAGTTAATATCCTCAGCCAATACATACACCAACCATTCCAACCACATATGAAAGCTGCCACACGTTTAGTTCATTACTTAAAAGGATCACATGGTCCAAGTATTCTGTTATCCTATCATAATGAATTAAAATTGTGAGCTTTATGTGACTCAAATTGGGCAAGTTGCCCTATGACAAGAAGATCAACAACGGGTTATTGTGTGTTTCTCGGAACAAGTCCAATTTCATGGAAAACCAAAAAACATCCCACTGTATCTAGGTCCTCATCAGAAGCCGAGTATAGGGCAATGGCAGTAGCTACATGTGAGCTACAATGGCTACGATATCTTTTACAAGATCTTGGTATATATCACATTCTTTCCCTAGTACACTTTATTGCGACAAAAAGAGCAAGTTAAATCTTTTAGACATACACACTCCAACTTGAGGGGAAGTATAATTGAGAGAAGACTTTAGATTAAAGTTAACGTTGTATAGATGTCTTACTTGGACATCAATTATTTTCCTTTTTTTGTGTAATTACCTTAGACATAGGATCTAGAGATTTATTTCCTTTTGTATTCCTTAAGCTTTGTTATATATTTGTAATTTTTGTACAGTGATCAATACATAAAACATTCACCATATTTTCTTATATTTTGCTTAATAGATTTTTCTCTTTAATCTTTTTTATGGTAAGCTCATTCTAATGCACCTCTAGTTTATGTTTTTCTGGTTATAACATGATTTGAGTTGAGCTTATTTATTTTAATAAAAAAAAAACTAGTTAAAAGATATAACACCAACAACTAAGAGCGGAACTACGTTTGGGCTGAGATGGACTCCAACCCAATGCTGTGTTTAGAGAACAGGCTTAAGGGGCTTAATTATACAAGCCAAATCTATGTAAATAAAAAATTAGCCCACCGTCTATCTAGAAATAAGCCTACCTCCATGTAAATTCATCAAGTATAAGATATTAATTTAGAGTGCTGCTAAACAAACCCTAAAATTAACTGAGTACACCATATGATATAAGTACACCCTAATATTTTAATTAAAATATAAAATTAACTAAGTACACCCTATGGAACTACCAAAAATACCCCTGGTACACCCTAATACTTGTAACATTATTTTATAGTTGATTTTCAGCTTGAAATAGTGTTTATAAATCTTTGACTTTTCATATGGATTTGTGCTTCTACTAAAATTGTTGACACTTTTTTTGCAATTCCAAGTTCTTGCAATCACCACCTCTTTGTTAAAAACACAATAGGACAAATGAGAAATTAAACACAAATTATCTCATGACATATTTTGTGTTGGAAGAAGCCAAATGAGCAAAAAGCCATCATAATTATTATATTTATTTTGATATATGCTACATAAAACTAGAATAATATCTCTGCAATGTACCAATAAGAGGCCAAATTGTAATGTTATTATATGTTTACCCAAACTAATGTTGTTAATTACTAATTTAATTGAGCACATGTCCCTGAAATCAGGTTCATGAATGTAATTTCTTCTCTGAATATGTTTTTCTATGGTATTATAAAAGGGAGTTTCACTAATACACCCAAAATAGGGGCTGAAATTATAAAAAAACCCAACATGAAAAACACTTTATAAACACTCCTAAAACCCATTTATTAAACACACTCAAAACCCATTTATAAACACACTCAAAAAATATACAATTGTTGATTTTTGGGTTGATTTTGGGTGTGTTTCTATGTTTTAAATAGTGTTGGGTTTTTTTTATAAATTCATGTCTAGGATTGAGTTTATTTATAAATTTGTAATTATTAAAATCAGAAGGAAAACAATGAAAGATTAAATAACTGCAATCACTATTGGAAGGCAGTGGCCATAAACTGTAAGATAAGTCCTAAAACCACTTGAAATTTTGATATATCAGTCTAAGCATTCTGAATAATGCTCATGGGGCAGCACTAGTTATAAAACACAATTGATCTGCCCCATAAGCACCGAAAAGCAATCAAATATGCTTCAAGATGCCAACCTGAAGAAAAAATAATAGCAGTCTTATGTGTGTAACACGAAAAAGAATAGCAAGCATGCAAAAGAGCACCCATGGTTCCAATAAAGCTGTAATAAGAAAAGAGCAAAACAATATGAGCACAAGATAGCTGCAGAGCATTATACATCCATTACAGATCTGTGACTTCCAATCTCAAACTAAAATTATAGAGTGTGACCGAACCTGCTCTCTAAGTTGTCTAATCCAAGTTGCCAACAAATAGTTCTGAGAAGAAAGAATGAAGGCTTCATTTGCTCCAAGCCATTCTGACTCGCGGATCACAAAGATGGGCACCAAGCAATCTCTTGATTAGGGTTCAATATGGTTAGTAGGGTGTACTTATTAAAATTATATTTGTTTCACAGTTCCATATATTATTTTTGGTCATTTTATATTAGGGTAAATCAATAATTCAATATATACTTTTGTAGTAGGGTGTATTCAGTTCATTTTAGGGTTCGTTTAGCAGCACTCTTAATTTATTTTAAATCTTTCCAAATTTTAAAGTGTAAGATATTAATTTATTTTAAATCTTTAAAGCTTTCCTTTTCATTCTCTCTCCTTTGAGTTCTTTATTTAATTTTGCTTTCATCATTTTTCCTCATTCTCTTTCCCCCTCCAAAAGATGGCAATAATTAATTTGTTTCTTCACGGAAACCCTAAACACCAGAGCTTTCATCATTTTTCCTCATTTCTCTTATCTCTTTCTTTTTCCTTCACTTCTTCACTCTCTTCTCTGTGCTCTTTGTTGTTGTTTGTTTGCTAATTAAATGACTTCCATTTTTATTTCTACTGATTTCTGTTTTTCTGGGGGTGGTTTGTTGCCCCGCCTACCAACAAAAAATTCTAGATATTATATATTATATTATAGAAGAAGCCAATAAGTTTTTTTTCAGCCTATTTCTAGAAAAATTCATGGTTTTGCCGTTGACAACAACTTATCTTTCGACTCTGAAATCCCTTCAGTCCACACCGAGATACATAGCTGCAGAAAATGGTAGTGACAAGCTCCAAAGGCAGTGAAGCTGCTGGCGTTGGATCCAACTATGACAGGACAAGTGAATGAAAGGCCTTAGATGACTCAAAAGCTGGAGTTAAGGGACTTGTAGATGCTGGTTTGGCTAAAATCCCAAGAATTTTCATTCATGACAAAAAAAAAGATCATCAACAACGAACCAATTAGCCCCAATGAGGGCTCCGGGTTCAGCATCCCGGTCATAAGCTTAGAAGGCATCGCCAAAGACGCAGGTCAACGTGCCCAGGTCATTAACCAAGTTAGACAAGCTTCTGAGAAGTGGGGGTTTTTCTAGGTGGTCAACCATGAGATTCCAGTCCAGGATCTGGAGGAGATGATTGATGGAATAAGAAGGTTTCATGAGCAAGAGCAAGCAGTGAAGGAGGAGATTTACTCGCGCGATTATACCAAGAAGGTTTTGTATAATACTAATTTTGATATTTATCATGCACCAGCTGCTAACTGGAGGGACACCTCCTCAGGCTCCCAACCTTGAAGAATTACCTTCAATCTGCAGGTATGTGTATGTATGCGAGGAAATTGTTCTTCTGCTATGCTGCCAGTTTTTTAAAATTCTCTTTTTTGAATTTGTGTTTCAAATTAACATTTTTTTTGTTGGTATTTTATACAAACGATTGTTAAGTTATTGTAAATTATTCTAATTTACTTGTAAACCGATGATTTCATGTTCGAATCGCCATAGCACTTTATAGTATTTGTATGAGAAACTCTCCTTCCTTTTATAGTTTATACGCTTGTATGGAAATAAATTTTTTTTTCTTTTCTGATTTTTCAACTTAATTTATAAGAGAACTCAGTTGCAATAATTAGATCATACATCCTTACCAAACACTACAAACAACTATCTTTGGGATATTTTTAACGATAGCAAATGACCAATTTTCAGGGATATAGTGGTTAATTACTCGGAGAAAGTAAAGAGTTTAGGGGCCACTTTGTTTGAATTGTTGTCTGAAGTGCTTGGGCTAAAACCCAACCACCTAAAGGACTTGGGCTGTGCTGAGGGACTATTTTTTCTGGGTCATTACTACCCAGCATGTCCTGAACCAGAATTGACGATGGGCACAAGTCAACATTCTGATAGTAGCTTCCTCACGGTTCTCCTACAAGACCAAATTGGTGGCCTCCAAGTCCTCCATGAAAATCAGTGGGTGGATGTTAAACCAATTCATGGAGCTCTAGTCGTTAATCTTGGAGACATGTTGCAGGCAAGTCAAATTAAACCAAATTCTAATGAGTACTTATTATGTACGTTGATAATTTCTAATGTGTTTTTTTGGTGCAGCTAATCTCAAACGACAAGTTCATTAGTGTGAATCACAGAGTCTTGGCCAAAAATGTAGGTCCAAGAATTTCTGTGGCATATTTTTTCAGACAGCATCTTCCACCGGAAAATTCTTCAAGACTGTACGGGCCAATCAAGGAGTTGTTATTAGAAGAAAATCCTCCAATTTATCGGGAAACTACGGTGAAAGATTTTGTTGCGCATTACTACACGAAAGGGCTGAACGGGGTCCCTGCACTGGAATATTTTAAGATATGAAGCTAGGCCATGGATATATATGTAGGGTCTAGTTAAGTTTATGCAGCAATGAATCTATATATGCTCTTGTTAAAAAGGAATGCAATAAAATTTTCTTATGGATAAGAATGGCCCGTTTGATAACCATTTCAATTTTAGTTTTTAGTTTTCATTTTTTGTGCTAGAGTAATGAGAGGGAGAATGAAATTGAGGATGAGATTGAGAGAAAGGATGAGAGGGGATGATGGAAGGAAGGAGTAACAAAAATGAAAACAATTTCAAATGGATTTCAGTTTTTAAATTTTGTTTTCACTTTCGTTACTTCTCCCCCTCATCTTTCCCAATCATCTTCTCTCTCAATCTCATCTCAACTCTCATTATTTTTCCTCTATATTTTAGCACAAAAAACAAAAAAATAAAAACAAAAAATAAGAATAAAAAATAGTTATCAAACGGCTCTTAATTTGTGAAGACAGATCCACGTTAAATCCTACCACCACAGCCACACATTTGCCAATTAATTGTCTTCCCCAAGTCCCTGTAGAAGGAAGAATAAATGGTGGTTATAGCCAAACATTGTTGACTTTAGTAAGTCCATTAACATAAGCTAGCACATGTAAACTTCCATATATATATGATGCAATTGCAATAGCCTTCAGGCAAAGCTTCGCTTCTGCATTTGAAGCACTATAAGTTACCTGATTTAATGGTGTCCGGGAACTCAATAAACCAAGACCGTCTTCAACAGCTAAAGGCCTTTGACGAGTCTAAAGCTGGTGTCAAAGGGATAGTCGATGGTGGCATCACAAAAATCCCACCAATTTTCGTCCGGCCACCGGAAGATTCCGCAGGCGATGACCCAAGTTCCGGCCAACCAACCCAAACCCAATTCAGTATTCCGGTCGTGGACCTTGCTGACACTGCCAGCAGGCATGATGACGTAGTTGCCAGAGTCCGGCGGGCTGCGGAGACCGTTGGGTTCTTCCAGGTGGTGAACCATGGAATACCCAAGAGAGTGTTGGAGGAGATGTTGAAGGCCGCGCGTGATTTCCACGAGCTGCCAAGGGAGGTGAAGGCTGAGTACTATAGGACGGGGCCGGGCTGGACGGTCAAGTTTGGGAGTAACTTTGATTTGTATAAGTCAAGGTTTGCTAATTGGAGGGACAGTCTGTTTTGTGTTATGGGTCCTGATCCTATTGATCCTCAAAAATTGCCTGTGGTTTGCAGGTACATTGAATGAACATATAATTGGTGAATAAATTTGATGCCTCTACATGATTGATTCAATTGATTGTTTACTAATAGTTTGTTAACATAAAATGCCGTATCGAGTGTGTATGATAGATTAACAGTTTGACAATATATTTTTGCCAAAGAATACTATATTTAGTGTTATGTATATTCTAACTTGAAAAAGTACTATGATTTTTAGATATGTTATAAATATGGAACATTGATTTATGATTTTATTTTTTTGGGTTTAATTTGCAGAGACATAACTATGGAATACTCCGAACAAGTTGACAAACTAGGTGTCACTTTGTTTGAATTGCTATCAGAGGCACTCGGGCTTAAATCTGAGCACCTTATAGGCATGGATTGTGCAAAAGGGCCTCTTATTATTAGCCACTACTATCCTCCATGCCCTGAGCCTGAGCTGACAATGGGAACTAGCCAACACTCAGATCCTTCTTTTCTCACCATCCTACTTCAAGACCATGTTGGTGGGCTCCAGGTTCTGTGTGAAAACCAGTGGATTGATGTTCCTCCTGTGGCTGAAGCTCTTGTAGTGAACATTGGAGATCTTTTGCAGGCAACCACCCTAATATATTTCTCAGCTTACAAATGGATTGTGACATTCTATTTTGAAAATATAGTTTCTAACGCTTGTGTTTTGGTGCAGCTAATCTCAAACGACAAGTTCTTAAGCGTCAACCACAGGGTCTTGGCTAAAAACGAAGAACCAAGAATTTCTGTGGGATGTTTTTTCAGACATTTTTCACCGGGGAAGTCGTCGTCAAGACTTTACGAGCCAATCAAGGAGTTGACATCAGAAGAAAATCCCCCAATTTACCGACAAACCACTTTGAATGATTTTCTTGTGTACTACTACAAGAAAGGCCTCAATGGGGTCTCTGCACTTGACTATTTCAAGCTCTGAATTAGGCCATGTGTATGTGTTTATGCAATAATAATGAATCAGTCTCTTATGTATCACAAATGTGTGCTTGAGTTGAGTTGAAAGGTCTAGTATACGTTTTAGTTTTCAATGTACATGTAATACAATAGACCTTTGGTATGCAGGTCAATGCTTTTTTTAACTAGGCCAGATCTCATTGGGAAAAGGGACTAATATAGAAAAACAAGAAAGGTGCTTTTCTATACGTTCAATTCAACATCACCAATTAAGGGCGGATCCATGTTTGGGCTAGAGTGGACTCTAGCCCAGTGTTGACTTTAGAGAGAGATAAATTAGGCTTAATTGTGTAAATTCAATCCAAAATAAATTAAGCCCACCACTTTTTCTAGAAAGCATCCCCATCTACAGCCAAATACTTTAATAGTTCAATTACTAATTTTTTTAACTCTCTTCTTTGGTTTATTCAGCTTTTGATTTGGCTCAAATAATGTTTATATGTCTCTATGATTTTGTTTTTTCAAATTTATTGATGTTACTTCTTTTGGAAATTTTGAAATATGGACCCTCTCTAACTAAACCACTCCATTATTGAGCCAAAATCCTCGAGCTTCAAATTGTTCTTCGTCTTAGCCTCTTTTTTATTATTATAGAGAAAATGGTATTGCATTCAACCCAAAGAGAACATTACATGGTAAGAACGAGCATGTTAATGGTGACCTCGTTAAAACATTCTTTGGGAAAACCACAAGGGATAAAACCCCATAGTAGGAAAGAGCATCACCCATACTAATGACTAAACAGATGAGTTAACAACCCTATTACAAAGTTAGACAAAACGAGACCAATCCTCCCTAACGCCATCTAGGAGCCAGGGAGGTCCATCACCCAACCAATAACAAGACCAATCTTCATCTTAGCCTCTGAATTTTGGGGTTTTTAGGTTTTCTTTGTTTGTTGTAGGTTTCTTTGTTCAGATATCTTTCTGAAATTTTATTTTTTTTAAATGAATTTTGAAAATAGTTTTTAATTTGAAGGAAATATACTGAATTAGTAAAAAAATATACCACTTTCATTAATCTGAAGAAAATATTGCTTTATATATATATATATATATATATATATATATATACACTCCCCTTCAATTGATGGATCCCTCAAATAATTTTATTTGAAGGACACCATTTAAGGTACCTTACAAATTTTTTTCCAACAATTGAAACCATCTATTTTTTAAGTCTTCATTCATAGATCATCCTTAAAAAAAATTAGACAAATCGGAAACCATTTAGACATCTAATGTGTCCTACAAAATCAATGAACACGGTTATTCAAGAAAGTATTAAAATTTCAATAATTTAATTAAGTGGTCAAATGATATCAGATTCAAGTGATTTTTTGTAGAGATGATCTTCAAATGAATATTTACAAAAATAAATGGTTTGAATTAATGAAATACAATATCTGGTGGGGCCTTGCAAGGGTATCCCTCAAATAAACTTATTTGAGAAATCCCTCAATTGAAGCTCACTATATGTGTATATATATATATATATATATATAAAGGAGAGAACAATACAGTAAATAATGCAAAATAAATGCTTATGAAATTACTCAAATAATAATGCTTACATGAAATTACTCAAAATAGAGATAACTGAAAATAACAATTTTATTAATACTCACAAGAGTTTCAGATAGCAACTGCTGAAATTTCTTCGGATACAAGAACACTCAGTGTTTACAAAGATGATTTCTCCAAAGTGTTTAGAGAGAATCTTTAAAAAGATTGAATTGTAAAATTGTATTCTGAATACAACTGAGGCCAAGGCCAACTTAAATAGAAAGAGAAGACTATGGTTAACCAACCATAGCAAAAAGCAACTACGGTTAATTCCACTGTAGAGGCACGAGAAAGAACTAATTCAACTTTCAATTTTGTCTTTTTCAGAAGGAATAACTTTTCTTTTGCTCAGGCAACTTTTGCTGAAGTGATGAGGAATAATGACTGTAGAGACACGAAAAAGCAGATGGTTGCTTTAAAGATGCTTCAATCATAAATTCTCCTGGGCAATTATTGTGTCTGCAACTAGGAGTCTAATCAGAGTTCAGGTCATAGGCATCATAGGGGTCTTGACTATCTTTATACCAAGACTTAGGCTTAGCAGGGCTCTGCATGGGCTGGCAACTAGACGACGAAAGAGAATCATTGTCTTCATCATCATCCATTTGAGAGGCTTGAATTATTAACTGGCGGGCAATTTCTTGGAGTTCAGACTTCGATTTTCCTTCAACTGAAATAGAAGATCGGGTTGAACCAGTGGGGGATGCTGGATGCGGAATAGGATCCCTGGGCAAATCATTGTAGACATATTTGGCAATTCTGTCAACTTCAAATTTGTCCCACCATTTAACAGAGAATTGGCGGGCAAAAACTCTGGTATCTTTGGTTACTTTGTAGGATCATTTGAGGATCCAAGGAACTTTATATCTGGCAACAAAAAGCAACTGTTTTGGGAAGAATAAATCAACTTTGGAGAACTTGGCTTTTTTAGTGTAATGGGGAATTAGCTCATGAACTGAAATAGGCAAAATTTCGTCAACTGGACCATGTTTTTCCCACCAATGGAGGAACCAGTAGGGAAAAGAACATTTAAACTTATTGTCAAAATTTATAAACCAGGAATGGCTAAAGTCCTCAGATTGGTGGAGGAAAATAGAGTACCAGGCTTCAATATAATCAGAGTAATTATATTGCAATTTTGACTGAAGGGGTTTCAACTCATAAGGGTGGCTACTGAAAGATTCTTGACTTAGGACTTTGTGAATATAGAGGGAATGATAAAGGATGATCTCAGGGTGATCTCGATCCTTTATTGGCTTAATTTCAACTGACTGGGTTTCAAGTAATATATCTCTATAATACTTGAGAGACTTGTATGGACTGGGCGGCATATAATGAAATCCTGGAGGAAAATAGTGTTTGGCTATGTCAACTGGGTCAGAATGAATATCATAGACAGGCTCAACAACAAACATGTGAGAGTTACTTTTGGGCATATAGGGAGATGTCTTCTTGAAGGCAACTGAGGGACCAACTGAGGGATCAACTGAAAAAGGATCATAACTGGAGATTAGGGTTGACTGATAACTGGGGCGAATTTGGCCAACTGTGGAACCTAAAGCAGAGAATTTATTAGCAACTGATATTGGTGTGGCAACTGAGATTGGGGTGTAACCAGGAAAAGGGACCAACTGTTTGGGTGTTTCTGGCTTATTTTGACTCATGGATGGGGGAAGGATTCGGAGCGACTGAGATGGCTTAGGTTGGTTGGCTGATTCTTTTTGCTTGTCTTTTTTGGGTGCCATTGTGCATCCTGCAAGAATTCTCGAGTAAGAAAATCAGGGATTGAATTCTCACTTCCTCTTCTCAAATATTCAATATCAAAATCAAATATGCTTAAAATGCTTTGCCATCGTGCAAAAATCTGTTTAGATGCAATGTTTTGAACATCTTTTTCTAAAACATGTTTTGCAGATTTACAGTCAACTCGTATTAAAAACTTTTGATTAAGCAAATCATCTTGAAATTTACTAATACATAATACAATAGCTAATATTTCTTTTTTAATAGTACTATAATTATATTGTGACTGGGTCCAAGTACCGGAATGAAAGCGAACAATCTGTTCTGGAGAATTTGGACAGGCTCTTTGTTTGAGGATACCACCATAACCTATGTCAGAGGCATCAGTTTCAACTATTTTAAAGGAATCAGCTGAAGGGATACCAAGACAGGGAAGTGTCTTGACATGGGTTTTGATTTGTTTGACAACTTCAGTATGGATGGTTGACCATGGGGGACGATTACTCTGCAATCTATCAAACAAGGGTTTACATTGCTTTCTCAGATTTTTGTAAAAGTCAGAAACATAATTTAGAGATCCTAGGAACCTCTGGAGTTGACTTTTATCAAGAATTTGATCAGGAAATTTGTTAGCAAACTGAATGACTCGATCAATTGGGGAGATTTGTGACTGGCAGATATTGAAACCAAGAAATCTGATATTGGTTTGGAATAACTTGATTTTCTTGGCAGAAACAACTAGACCATTCCGTTTGACAATTTGAAGGAATTTATGCAAATGTTTCCAATGCTGTTCTATTGACTCAGAAAAGATGAGAACATCATCAATATAGACAATTGAGAAATGACTGTAAGGATTAAAAATTTCATTCATAATATTTTGGAATTTGCTATGGGCATTTTTTAGACCAAATGGCATTACATTCCATTCATAATGACCAAAAGGGGTGACAAATGCAGTCTTATACCTATCTGACTTGTCTATTTGGATTTGCCAGAAACCACTCTTCATATCAAATTTGGAATAAACAACTGCTTTTTCTAATCTATTAATCAGGTCTCTTTTATTAGGTATGGGGTACCTAATCCATTCTAAGACTGAATTAAGTGGCTTGTAGTTGATAACTAATCTTGGAACTCCTCTTTCTAGCTCAGCATTTTTCTGGACATAAAAAGCCGGACATGACCAGGGAGACTTACTTTTGCGAATTATTTTCTTCTGAAGCAACTCATGAATTTCTTTTTTACAAAACTCCATTATTTCTTGACTCATCTGGATTGGCCTGGCTTTAGTAGGAATGTTTTTCTCATTAAAGGTTTTGATATAAGGAAGACAAACAACATGTTGTTTTCTATACCAAAAAGCATTAGGCAACTCAGAGCAAATCTCATTTTTTAACTTATTTTCAAACCGCTGGATTTGCAACTGTAAAGATTTATCATTAAGCTGTTGTTCAACTCTTTTAAATTTAATCTCTTCTTTAAGAAAATTCAACGGGTTATTTTTCTGAATAATTTGTATTGATTTGGACACTGACTGGTTTTGCAAGGCTTTCAGATTATGCAACTCTGGTTTAGATAGAAACTCAAATTTAACCTTTTCGCCTAAATAGGTAGAAATGACGCTATCATAGTCTACCTGGAAGGGATACAATAAGGCAATAAAAGGTAATCCTAAAATGACTTCGTCAGTGATATTCTTGACCAAGACAAATGAGGTTTTGAAGCAAATTTTATTTTGGCAAACATGGGCTTTTGGTAATTCAAAATTTAACTGGAGTGATTTTCCTGAAGCAGTGCTTAAGGATTCTCTAGACTTCTGGTAAAACTTAGTAGGGATTAGACCTTCCTGAATACAGTTAAGATCAGCTCATGAGTCAAATGGGGCAATTGTGGTGAATTCAAAGTTTTGGACAAATATTGTCACTTTCGAGTACCATTTTCTAAAGTTGACTTGTTTGATTAAATTTACAACTTGTTGGCTTTCAGAAGGTTCATCATCAGAGTTGTTTGGACTTTCTGACTGGCTTTTGGACTCAGAAGACTCTTTTTCCATAAGACGGACTAAATCTTGTTTGATTGTATAATTTTCACTTTGTAATTTATGACTTACCTGTTTTAGTTCAACTATCTCTTTTTTAACCATTTTTACTTCTAATTGAAGGTCTTGTAAGGTAATTTCTTTCTTTTTAGCAAATTTTTCTAAAGTGGTATTTAAACTAATTGGCTGGGGAGTAGAATGACTTGGGCTTTCTTGGCTAATGACTTTTCTTAATTTCTTTAAATATTCTGATTTTAATTCAGGATTCTCAACTTTGCTTATTAAGTCTATTAATAATTCTTCTTGTTCTTCTTGTTTAGTAAGAACAGAAATGGATTTTAATCTATTACAACATTTATCTTTACAACCAATTTGGATATTAGGTGAGCTTGACTGTGAATCTAAAGACTGGTCAGATTCTGATTCAAACTGGCCACTATGGTTTCATCATTGCTTGTTTCAGAGTCTCGCAACTCCAAAACTTTTATCAACTTTTCTTTTTCTTCGTCTGCAATTTTCAATTGTTTAATAGTATCATTTACTTTGCATTCAGAGGCATAATGACCAAACTTTTGACATTTAAAACATTTGACTTTAGCTTTATCATTATTTCTTTTGGAATGATTATTCTTTTGACCTTTTGGGGCTTTCGCCCAATTTTTCTTGGGGGAAAATTTTCTTTTTCTATAGAACTCATGATTATCATCATTATGTCGGGAAAATTTTTTTCTACGGAAATAATGACGATGTTTTCGAATGTGACTAGGCTTATTTTTCCTGGAAGGAGGGATGCTGGTAAGACCATACTGTTCACAAAAATTTCCTAATTCATATTTGGCTGATTTCCTATCGGACTGTATTTGTCTACCAATTTTAAAATCAATACACATTTTCATGCCAACTTGGTTGATTGTACTTATGATATTTCCATATGTTAAACTATCCCAATCTATATGGCCTTGTTCATTACTCAGAGTTGTGCGTATCTTATGGGCAAACAAATTTGGAAGACCATTAACAAATTTTTCTTTCCAGAAAGGTTGATTACTATCATCCCTAAGCATGACTCTAGAGATGAAGACATCTTTGTACCATCTGAAATCAGATAACTTAGGGCATTTAAGGTTACTTAGCTGGTCATGTATCCTAGCAGTGGTATTACTAGGGGTTCCAATGAAATGCTCAATTATTGTGTAAAACAAAGTGTTGACTCCATCTTCTATACCTTGACCTATTTGTTCGTCAAATATAGGGATACCATCTTCATTAAGTTTTACAGCATGAATGATCAGATTTTTAGACTCAGGGGTCAAGTGTTTGTCCCACCAATACCTGAGAGTACCGGTAAACCCAGTAACTAACAGGGGTACAATTTCAGATTGTCTGAAACTGTGATTGGTGATGTAACTGTTGGCAACCATGGACATATGTTATAGCTTATTAAGGGTTTCTTGCTCAGATAGACCATCAATATTCCATTCGTACAATTTATCAGAAGAAACCGAAAACTGGGTTTGGAAGTTTCTTTCCTCAAATTGGATATCTGGAGGTGTTGGTCTAGGGTACCAATTTTTGGTCAAGCTAGTGGGGCTTATGTGTCTATCTAATCTTTTGATTTTGGGTTCAACTTGGACTTCCAGATTTTTGAAAGCGTCTTCTATTTTTGAAATATTACTAGTTTCAGACTCTGTTGTCTCAGGTTCAGACTCAGAAGAGTTTATGATTGCAAAAGAATCTAGTGTTTTAAGACCAGATTTTTCAGCTTTACTTGGGGTCAACTGTTCTAACATCTCTTCAATTTTCTTCATTGTAGGTTTAATCTTAAGCGTGGGGCTTGACTTAAGATCCTGAAACTGAACTATTGGTTTTCCAATTTTTGGTTTAGACTTAATTTCTGGGGAACTTATCTTGTCAATTTTAGTTTCAATTGTATCCAGTTGTTTCCCTATGACAATTAAACTCTGATTGGTATAATTATTCTGCTCAATTAGTCTTCTATTATCATCATTGTTTTCAAAGGTTTTGAAGGGGCTAGCAGGCCTAGGTGTATTCTTATGATTGATTATTATGGTATCAACTGGGGGATGACTAGCTTCAATCACTGACTTATCTATCATTTTTCATTTTTCTTTAGTTAAAGTTTTTAACTCATTAGACATGTAGCGGCTTTCAATAAAATCAAGGTAGAAGATTTCAACTTTGGCTGACCGCATATAATCTTTCCATTCATTAAAGATTTTTTGGCAGCTTTCACTATCAGGGTAGGCTTGGTGATAACTATTTCTCCTATGCTGATTTTCTGGGGTCTTGAGGTGATAATTTAGGCGTTTCCAATTAATCTCAAATTTTTTATTAAGGGTTCTAAGTTGATTATCAACTGCTGCAAAATTTTCAACTAAGAAGTCAGATTGTGTAGGTGACTGAGGTGAATCGGACTTGTCATCTTGGACTGGTACCTTGCCATAACAAGGTTGGTTTACCTGAGAGGATTTTCTCAGGGACTCAAGTTTGAAGTCAATCATGGCTTTTTCTAATTCTAGGTCTCGTTCTAGAGTGGAGGACGAGGCAGCAAAGGAGCGCCTAGTAGGAGCATGCCTTTGAGATTGACCAGGGGTTGGCAACTGTTGTAACTGGACATTAGACTTTTTCAAGGGTTGATTTTCAAATCTAATTTTTACTGTGCCATCTAAATATTGTTGGATGTAATCTAAATTATTTAGACTACGCTGTATTGGAACTGGTTGGCTCTCATTGACTAAGGTCCAATCTTTTGGAAGAGCAACTTCTGACCACTTAATGGTTTGAGGGACTTGGATATGGGCATCTGTTGTATGACTTTGGATTAACACAGTTTGGTCTTTTGGGCTTTTATTAAGAGCTTGGAAATTCATATTAGTACCTATAACTTTGTAATAAATTCTGTAAACCAAGGCTAAAGGTTAGGTTCCTGGGAGGACATTATAACCTTCAGTCTTAATGTTCAGAGTTAAAGTTCTTAGTATATGAGGATCACTAAGACTTACAATGAAATCTGGATAACAATCAAAATGTACTGGGCCATTACATAAACTGGACTCAATGACTCCTAAGGTGCTGTCACTAAATTCAGTAAATCTGGCGTCACGCAAACATAGAAGAATAGAAGCTTTTAATCCTAATCTTGTTAGAGGTTTAACAGCAACTTGAACTAGTCCAATATGCAGAAAGTTATTACCATCATTTTTATGTTTCTTAATTGATTCAAGATTAAGCAACTGGTAGGTTTCATGTTCTTTACTTAAATCATATACTTGTTCAATTGTTTTAACATGAGTTGTGCTATTAAAATACTAGAAGGCAACCAATGTTTCTTATATATTTTTTGACTCGGGACTTTAGGTATATTCCAATCTCTAAAGTCTAGTTGTTCTTTACTACTAGAATCATATTCAAATTGTTCTTCATTAACTATCTCTGGGAGTCGGCTTATGCTGGTTTTAGAACTGCTCGAATTACAAGAATTTGTCCTAAATAAACGACTCATGACTACTCAAATGTTTGGATTTGGCTTACTGATGAAGAAGATAAACAGGGGCTTCCTAAACTGACCGGTTACCCTATAAGAAACCTATTAACCTCTCTTAATTTTCTGTCTCCTGCCCACCGCTCAAGCCCTCTACACTGGGGACTTACTGTTTGGAAAGAGGACTCACGGGTCAGACCTTAAAGAAAGATTAACAAATAACTCAAAGAATAAAAGGGAAGGAGAGGAAGAAGCTGAAGAACCTCTACTCAGAAGCTTAAACCAGCCACTTGGGCGGGGATGAGTAGCAGACTTAGAAAAAGACTGTAACTCTTACGGCTCTGATACCAAAAGGAAGGGAACAAGGAGATAGTTGTGAAAGGAGAGAACAATACAGTAAATAATGCAAAATAAATGCTTATGAAATTACTCAAATAATAATATATATATATATATACAGTCCCCTTCTATTGAGGGATCCCTCAAATAATTTTATTTGAGAGACGCCCTTTAGGGTACCCTACAATTTTTTTTTTCCAATGATCCAAACCATCTATTTTTTAGATCTTCATTCATAGATTATCCTTACAAAAAATTAAACAAATCGGAAACCGTTTCGACATCTAATTGTATCCTACAAAATCAATTAACACAGTGCTTCAAGAAAGTACTAAAATTTCAATAACTCAATTGAATGGTCAAATGATATCGGATTCAAGTGATTTTTTGTAGAGATGATATTTGAATGAGTATCTACAAAATAGACGGTTTGGATTAGTGAAATACAATCCGGAGTGGGCTATACAAGGGGTGTCCCTCAAATAAGCTTATTTGAGGATCTCTCAATGGAAGCTCTATGTATATATATATTTGAAAATAAGACTTATAATTGATTCCAATAAAAATAAAAATAAAAAATAAAAAATAAAAAATAAAAAATTAGCCTATCCCTGTAAAAATTCCTGGTCCACCATTTCACCAACTAGTTCCAATTGCTTCATTTAATATCATTGTGACTTTATCTTGATAGCAACATTCCAATTTTTTTAGAAAAAGCATAATGAGAGCAAAACTCAATCCTCAAACCTGTCTGCCCTTTCCCACTAAATAACAGAGGAAATGACATGATCAAATCCAATCAAAGCCTAACGTAAATTGCAAAGTTCATATGGGGCACAAAATAGAAACACGTGTCCTTGCCTTCAAGAAAAGCCTCTGCGTTTTCAACCAAGTAAAAAAGTTTGCAAGATTTTACAGGAAAAACAGGTGCATGAAAATGATCTCCGGGTACACAGCAAACGGAGACCGTCTGCAACAGCTAAAAGCCTTTGACGAGTCCAAATCTGGTGTCAAGGGGATCGTCGACAAAGGCATCACAAAAATCCCACCAATTTTCGTTCGGCCGCCGGAATTTTCTGGCGGCGACAAACCAAGTTCCGGCCATCGAACTCGAACCCAGTTCAGTGTTCCTGTTGTGGACCTCACCGACACAGTCGGCCGGCGTGCTGACGTGGTTGCCGGAGTTCGGCGTGCCGCAGAGACTGTTGGGTTCTTCCAGGTGGTGAACCATGGGATACCCAAGAGAGTGTTGGATGAGATGTTGGCGGCGGCGCGTGGGTTCCACGAGCTGCACAGGGAGGTGAAGTCTGAGTACTACAGCAGGGAGCTGCTGAGGAAAGTCAAGTTTGGAAGTAACTTTGATCTGTATCAGTCAAGGTTTGCTAATTGGAGGGACAGTTTGTTTTGTGTCATGGGTCCTGAGCCTCTTGATCCTCAAGAATTGCCTCTAATTTGCAGGTATGTCAGAGTATTGGGAAAAGTTCAAATTTTGGTCTAGTAAAATGGATGGCAATTTATTCTCATCCCACTTGGTACATGTTGTTTTTATTTTCTTTTTTGAAAAATCTAATTTGCAGAGACATAACTATGGAATACTCTGAAAATGTTCACAAATTGGGTGTCACATTGTTTGAATTGCTATCGGAGGCACTTGGGCTCAAACCTGACCACCTTATTGGGTTGGATTGTGCAAAGGGGCATCTTATTCTTAGTCACTACTATCCACCGTGCCCTGAGCCTGAACTCACAATGGGCACCAGCAAACACTCAGATCCTGACTTTCTCACCATCCTACTCCAGGACCAAATTGGTGGCCTCCAAGTTTTGTATGAGAACCAGTGGATTGATGTTCCTCCTGTGCCTGGAGCTCTTGTAGTCAACATTGGAGATCTCTTGCAGGCAAGCCCTCTAATTCCTCTAACAACTATGTGAAAACAGATTTGTTTTCCTTTCACAAACTGTTCTAATATATGGGGAGGGAGATCGAGCTTGAGTGCAGGGGCTGCACACTACTTTGGACAACTGGCCTAATCCGCATCTGCAAAATCGATATTTTTTATATTTGTGACTAAATTCCGTGAAATGATTGTTGTATTGTAATTATTGCAGCTTGTGTCGAATGACAGATTTAAGAGCGTAGAACATCAGGTGCTTGCAAACCATGCAGGGCCAAGAGTGTCCATTGCCTGCTTTTTAACCCCGCATCTTCACCCTTCGACAAGGTTGTACGGCCCCATAAAGGAGTTGTTGTCAGAAGATCGTCCGCCTGTTTACAAAGAAACCTCACTGAAAGACTTCATTGCCTACTACGATAAGAAAGGGCTTGATGGAAACTCTGCACTAACACATTTCAAGTGCCAAAGGTAACAAACAATGAATTAGGAAACTCATGCTATATTGTTCACTCTTGGATTGATGAGTTCAGATTACTAGAAGGCTACTTAGATTTGGAGTAACAGTTCAATTTGTACGAATTGGATACGAATGGCCACCGTATACGGAATCCATTGAAATAAGGCACCTAATGCATTGAATTTGTTCCCGTTAACATATTTTCCTTCACCTCTCTTTTGGTAGTGTGGTTTGTAAGTACCAAATGTGGTGAAGATGTTATATAGGCTTTTACCATGTGCTTTATTCAGAATGCACCACAAAACAAAACCAATTATATGATACCATGCATATTTTTCAATTCAAGATACATGTGTAAATTTGAGTTTAAACGGTATACAAGACGAAGACCAAAAAGACAGAAGGAAACGGACAAGTGGGGTTATGTCTCTGCTGATGTCAGAAGGATCCTGGACAAAGGCATCACCACCAAACATTATTGGATTTGAGTAAATATTTAATAAAAGCGTGCAAACATTTCCTAATGAAGCCTTAACCAAAGTTTCATTTTGATTTCAAAACCAAGAACATGGTGTCCCCGAATTCAACAAACCAAGCCCGTCTCCAACAGCTAAAGGACTTTGACGAATCAAAAGCTGGTGTCAAGGGGATCGTTGACAAAGGCATCACAAAAATCCCATCAATTTTTGTCCGGCCACCGGAATATTCCGCCTCCGGCGACCCAAGTTCCAGCCAACCAACCCGAACCCAGTTCAGTATACCTATCGTGGATCTCGCTGACACTACCGGCCTGCATGATGACGTGGTCGCCGGAGTCCGGCAGGCAGCGGAGACTGTCGGGTTCTTCCAGGTGATGAACCATGGGATACCCAAGAGAGTGTTGGAGGAGATGTTGGCGGCGGCGCGTGGGTTTCACGAGCTGCTGACGGAGGTGAAGGCTGAGTACTATAGTAGGGAGCAGATGAGGAAGGTTAAGTTCAGGAGTAACTTTGATTTGTATCAGACAAAGTTTGCTAGTTGGAGGGACAGTTTGTTTTGTGTCATGGGTCCTGAACCTCTCGATCCTCAAGAATTGCCTGACGTTTGCAGGTATGCATGACGGAGGTGAAGCCTGTAGTTTTTTTTTCTTTCCTTTTTTTGGTAACTTATAGAATCCTATAGGCTGCATATCTCAGTAATGTACTATGTGTAATGCTAAGAGATAACGAAACATTTTTGTTGTTCTGACATGTTATGTTGCTAAATGGACAGTTTTTATAACGTAAGTAACCTGCGTACATAGAGAATGGTTCGTGGACCAAACTCTCTAACTTGTACAAGTAATTATGGTTTTCATACATATGTTAAGATGGGGAGCATTGATTTGTGGAAAGTTGAAATTTGGATCTAGTTAAATGGGTGACAAATGATTCTCATCCCTGTTGGTGCATGGTTTTTTCTTTTTCTCTCTGTTGATTTAATATGCAGAGACGCAACCATGGAGTACTCAGACCATGTTCACAAATTAGGTGTCACATTGTTTGAATTGCTATCTGAGGCACTTGGGCTGAAATCCGACCACCTTTTAGGCTTGGATTGTGCAAAGGGGCATGTAATTCTTAGCCACTACTATCCGCCATGCCCTGAGCCTGAACTGACTATGGGAACTACCAAACACTCAGATCCTTCTTTTCTCACCATACTACTTCAGGACCAAATTGGTGGCCTCCAGGTTCTGTATGAAAACCAGTGGGTTGATGTTCCTCCTGTTCCTGGAGCTCTAGTTGTGAACATTGGAGATCTCTTGCAGGCAAGCCCCTTTCTATGTTTCAGCATGGTTCTGTACTAATGATCCTCTAATTGCTCTGATGTGTATAGTATTTGTTTTCAAGAGAACCTTTTCCAGCTGTTTCAGGAAACTCTGTCTTCTATAAGATTGTTCTCTTGTGTCCTTTTTTTATACTTTGTGTTGAGAAATTGTTCTGTTTAATGTTCTTGCAGCTTGTATCCAACGACAGGTTTAAGAGTGTGGAGCACCAAGTGCTTGCTAACCATGCAGGTCCAAGAGTATCTGTTGCTTGTTTTTTCACCCTGAATTTTTACCCATCCACAAGGTTGTACGGTCCCATAAAGGAATTGTTGTCTGAAGATCATCCGCCTCTATACCGGGAAACCTCACTGCAAAACTTCAGTGCTCACTACGACGGAAAAGGGCTTGATGGGAACTCTGCACTAACACGTTTCAAGTGGCAGAGGCAACAATGAAATAAGTCACCTGTGCTGTAGATTAGTGGCTGTGAACATATGTTAAGAGTTCCTTCAAGTGGCAAAGGTCAAAATGAAATAAGGCAACTATACCATATGCTTAAACTTTGCATTATGTTACAAACAAACCACATATGTTTGATAATGCAGTGCCCCTAGTGATGCTTGTAGTTTATAAAGGCTGAAGCAGATTTGATTGCACAAATGGATCACCATTTCAATCTTTTGCACAATTTTGCTCACTATAGTTTGTGGCACTCTCTCTCTATCTCTTTCTCTCGCATCTTCTTCTTCATCTGTAAAACACCCCTTTTCTGCAACTCCTTTTTGGTTGTGTTTTTGAATTTATGGGCTTTGAGTGTAGATCTCCTTTGATCTATCTTCTGTGGAGGTGGAGTTGAAGCATGTGGTGGGATCTACTATCTTATGGTGGTGTGGGATCGTGTGTGGTGCAAGAGATGCTATGACTTTTATCTAAAGGTCAAGGTGGAATTTGAGTGGTAAATGCTCTCACACTTTATGGTGTTTTCAGATCCGAACACTACAAAAAAAACACACAACAGTCACTTTCTTTTTCGTGACTTTTAGCAGTATTAGCCACGAATATTCGTGACTAAAGCCATTAGTAACGGTGTAGTTACAAGTTTTGATTCCGTTACTTTTGTGGCCGTAACTATTAGGTTTTCTCACGATTAAAAACACCATTTCGTAACAAATTGTGTTGACCATCCAATTGCTCCAAAGTGGGTCCCACATCATGTCTAATCAAATTATATTTTATTATTTTATTTTATTTAACTGCGTTGTCCAACATCATTTGATTATCTTTTTTTTTAAAAAAAAAATTCTTTCCATTATTATTTGTGTCTTATATTTTTCACAATTATAATAATTTCCAATTCTTTTTATGTTTATTTTTAACTAAAATTCAGATCCCTTACCGAAAACCAGATTACAACACTCAAACCAAAATACCCATCCCCCAATTCTTTGCTGAAATCACAATCAAAGCGGAAAAAGTCTGAGTTAAGACCCATATTATATATATATATATATCATCCTTCCATAAGAGTTGAAACTTTTAACTAAATAATTCAAACCAAGAAACTTAAGAACAAGAAACCAAAAGAAAAAATTCCATACACAGTCCAGCTACATATGAAGGTTCAGACTGACGGAGTTGACGTCGTCGTTGGTTGGGCTTCAACGTGGCTGTCAAAGAGACAATCAGATCTGTGTGAATAATGTTGTCGTCGGTTGGGCTTCACATATAAAAAACTCCGATATGAAAATGATTTCAATAGAAGGTTGAGAGATGGAAGCTTTCCAATTGAGTCTCATAAATAAAATACAAATTTATAAATAAAACCCAAAACCATTCCTGAAATTAAACCCACATGAAAACTTCAAAAAAAACAAAACCTTTACCTTTCTAAAGGGAGATGCGGTTCAGATCTGAAATTAAACCCTACAATGAAATAGTAGCCCACGAAAAGGATAAGGCCAGACAACTGGTCTTCAAGGGAGAGCGGGAAGAAGGAGAAGAGGGAAGAGAAGAGAGAGGGATGGAAAAAGAGAGAGAGAGAGATGGAAAAAGAGAGAGAGAGAGAGAGAGAGAGAGAGAGAGAGAGAGAAGGAAAAAAAATAAAAAGAGAGGAAGAGATGGAGATGGAAAGTGACGGAAGGAAGAAGAAGATGGGAAAAAAATAAAAAAAAATGAAGGCGTTGGGAGAGATGAGATGGGGAGAATAAAAATTACAAAAGAAAGAAAAAGAGGGGTTGGTTTGGGCACATCTTCAGATGCATATGAATGCTCTCACATTTTTATTATAATATTTATTATTTAGAATAACTATTACTAATTATATAGAGGGAAGGGAAAAGAATCTTGGTTAGTGAGAAAGATTCTGTCCATATATTTTTATTAAATTATTATTGTAAATATTTTATTATGAAAAAGGTTATCCTCTGATATTTTATTACATTATTACTATTCATGTGTCAGCTACAACCAAATTTATTATATTATAATTAGACACAAATAATGGTGACTAATTTGGTTAAGAGCATTGACCACCCATAATTGTCACCAAAATAAATTAGTTACTTAAAAAAATGTGACTATTGCTTCCTTTTTTTGTGGTGGAAAATGGATGAGAGTTGGTTCTCTGACGTGATCTCTCAGTACTGATTGCAGAGTTCCCATTGATCCCGTCATCTTCCTCTCTGTGTAAGCTTGGTTTAAAATGTCAGTGGAGTTTTGCTCATTGTGCTTGCTTTAAATGTATTGTCTTGCTTAATTGTTTGGTTTATTGTATGCAAGAACCCTCTTCATGGGCAGTGTTCTTCATGTTCATTATGTAATTGCCTCTATTATGAATGGATCTGGTTATTTCTCAACAAAAAAATAATAATAACTTGAACCATTCAAATGATTTAAATATCATCCCAGACGTAAGCCATGAGAAAATCGAACATGGTGGGTTGTGTGGTTGGTTGTAAATCCCAAAGACAAAAGCACAAAAAATTAAATAATAAAAAATTCAGACTTTTTTGGCCAAATTGCCTTAGCAATTGGCCTACTTAAGCCACCTCAACAGAGATGAAAGTACGACCATATTTTGTAACTTAATCTGAAAGATCAACACTTTATCAAGTTTTCTTGTATTGAGCAGATCATGGATACCTCAGTTCTTGGCCACAGAACATCATCACATGATGAAAACCAGTCTAAATACGACCGAGCCAAAGAGCTAAAAGCTTTTGATGACACAAAGGCTGGTGTGAAAGGCCTAGTTGATGCCGGCACACTTCATGTACCCAAGATATTCATAGGGCCACCCAATGAGCTCACTCACTTCCCCACATGTCACCAACCCAACCTGCAAGTTCCTGTCATTGATCTCCAAGGCATCAACGGTGATCTCCACAAGCAGATTGTAGATGAAGTTAGGGCCGCGTCCAAAACGTGGGGCTTTTTCCAAGTGGTCAACCATGAAGTCCCATTGACTGTGTTGGAAAATATGATCCAAGGAGTGCTCAAGTTTCATGAGCAAGATCTTGATGTGAAGAAAGAGTTCTATTCCCGTGATCGAGAAACAACTGTCAGATTCAACAGCAATTTTGATCTGTACCAATCAAAAGCAGCTAATTGGAGGGACACTCTCGGTTTTGCAAAGGCTGTTGTTGATCAGGACCCCAAACAACTCCCTTCAGTTTGTAGGTATTTGCTCAGAAACCCTTTCAATTTCGTTACTTGTGTTCATGATTTTGTTGTATTATTTTTTAAGTTATTGGTGGTCTAATTTAGACTGATTAACTTGGTGATTTTTACTGATTGGCTTGTCCCCCAATAATTAAAAATTGCTCCTTCTGGGAACTGTGTTCATATGTGTTCTCACATCACAAGTGGCCTCATGTTCAAACTCATATGGCACCTTTGTAGGGCGTGTTTGAGAAACTTCCATCCCTTTGTAGTTTATTAAAACAAGAAACCCCAACTTTTCAGATACTTTTTACACATTTGTTCACTCCAAAATGCAGAGATGCAGTAATTGAATACGCAAAGCATGTCAAAAGTTTGGGAGACCAACTCTTCGGATTGTTATCAGAGGCTCTTGGTCTCAAGCCTGACCACCTAAGGGAATTAGAATGTTCTGAAGAGCCTTACTTTGTGTGCCACTACTATCCAGCATGCCCAGAACCAGAACTTACACTGGGAAGTAGCAAGCACTCAGATCCTTCTTTCCTCACAATTCTTCTTCAAGACCAAATTGGTGGCCTCCAAGTTCTTCATGACAATCAATGGGTTAATGTTCACGCTATTTCAGGTGGCTTAGTAGTAAATATTGCTGACTTTCTTCAGGTTTGTTTACCCAATTCCAAGCACATTTTCATTTTTTCTGCTATTCACCAATTTTTCTAAGGCTTCCTAAATTTGTCCAGGCTATATCTAATGACAAGCTTCAGAGTGTTCAACATAGAGTGCTTGCAAACCGGGCCGGTCCAAGAGTTTCCATAGCTTGGTTTTTCAAAGGACAGAGAACTGGAGCACTTGCCAAGTCCTATGGTCCAATCAAAGAGCTTATATCAGAACAGAACCCTCCTCTGTATAGACATTTCTTGATAAGTGAATATCATGGCAAGTTCTTTTCTCAGGGGCTTGGTGAGAAGTCTGGTCTTGACCATTTCAGGCTTTGAAGCCAACAATTTCCACTGATGGACACTTTCAAGATGTAATAGTTATGGCTGAATTATGTTGTCTGATTACCACATTGTGAAGTTTCATGTACAACAAACAGTGATTGCTTTGTTAAAATAATTTCTGCCTAACTTCATTTCTTTTCCTTTTGTTAAAGTCCACAGCAGCTACAGATCCTCCTACATTGCAAAAATTAAAGCTGTCACTTTTGTGGATTTTAGTGCTTGGTTTCTTTCTGGTCTTAGGTCTATGACAAATTTTGTTGATGCTCAAAATGGTTAGGCCAAGATTGAGTCCAACTTAGTGATGAGGTGTGATGGATGATGAATGAAGGTGAGGACCTTAAGCATGTGTGTGAAGACTTGGGCAAGCGATAAATGTAAAGAAGACAAGATATACGTGGTTCACCCTTAATGAATGGGCTACGTCCACGGAGAAGTATGTTCTCATTATAATAGTGTATGATTACATTTGTATACGGGGTTGGACCCGAATATAAAGATGACAAGTGAGATGCCCAGGCTAGGGATCTAGGAGAGAGTCCCTAGCCCTAGGGTCTAGCTCTGAGACCCGGATCCTCTTCTAAGTGGAGAGAGAAAGTCCCCTTTTCACATGGATACTATTCCCTATTTATAGGGAGGTGAAAGTGGGAGGTTTGTGTAGATTTCCGATGTGGGACTTTGCGCAAGTCGCTGTGGTGGTGACACGTGTCATGGTGTTGATGCTCTTGGTGCTAGTTGCTTTGATGCTGGATATGCTCGGTTGATTATGGTATAAACAGTAGTCCCCCAAGTTCGCG